GAATTAAAAAAGATAATAGGTAACTGTGTTTCATAAAAATAGAATCTATTATCTAATTTTTCTTTTAATTTTAATTTGTTCAAATATAAAAAGTGTAAATTCACCATATTATCATAATTTAATTAATAATTTCAATTCTTAATGTTTGCATTAACCAAGGGCATTTTTTGGTATTTTGAATGTTTTACCATTCTCTACTTTTTACTTTATATATATGAATAATATTTAAACATTTTAATATGTTTGTTGTTATATTTAATTTTGATTTTAAATTATTAATAACTCAAATTGCTAAAATGACCATGTTAGATTAGCAACTTAACAGTTTTATTGAAGAAATTGACGAAATGGGATAACGTGAGACATGAAATGCAAGTATTGGGGAAAATTGTGTCAGTTGAAAGTTAGGGGGGAAACATGCGACACTAAGCAAAGCACAAGGGGTAATCAATAAATAAGCCTTTGAAAAGTGGTTTTCGTCACAAAACGACAATGTGGTTTATGAAAACTATACATATTTTTATGTCACGGATTGTTCTTACATTAACCATGCACATCAATTTTGTCTCGGCCATTATTTTTAAGAGATTGTCTTGGGGGTGTATTGAATTGAGATTTTAATAGATTATAAAGTAGTTAGAACTCTATGAATTTTTATTTGACTTTCTTAAATTCCACATATACTTTGATTGAATTTATAAGAATTGTAATGAAATTTGTTAGAATCTTATCATAGAGTTTGATAGATTTTTTAATTATAAAATTCTACAAATTTGAAATAGTGGTAGACCATCATGTTTGACGTTAGTGATGGTAGTAGAGACAATATTGATGGGAATGGTAGAGTTATGAATGGTGGTGGGGAGAGTGGTGGAAATGACCATGTCAAGTGGTGGTGGTGACGATAAGGAGTGGTAGTGGTGGTGGCGGTGGCGGTGGCGGGGGGGGGGGGGGGGACAGGGGGGGGGAGGGGGGGGGGGCGGGGGGGGGGGGGGGTGGGGGGGGGGGGGGGGGGGGGGGGGGGGATGTGGCAGTGGTGCTAGGGGTGGTGGTGGAGGTGGTAATGGTGGGAGGTGGTGCTGGTGTTGGTGAAGGTGATGAGGGTGGTGGTGGTGATGGAGGTTGTGGTGGTGCTGTGCTGGGGTGGCCGTGGCTGGCGGTGGTGGTCGTGATGTGATGGCGCTAGGGGTGACAGCAATGGTGGTCGTGGTGGTGGGGGTGGCAACGATGGGAGTGGCGGTGGTGGTGGCGGCTGTGACAGTGGCAGTGACAGCGATGGAGATGATTATGGAGGTGGTGGTGGTGGTGGTTGATGCAGTGGTGACGATGATAGTGGTAGTGGCAGGGGTGATGGTGATGACCCATGCACATCGAAGACAGCCCAATCCACATCGAAGACCCATGTCTTTTACGAAAATGGAAGAGTTGTAAAAACGTCAAAATTAAATGGCAATCGACCACTGAAGTAGAACAATAAGAAATTGAAAGAAGAATTGGATTGGGCCTAGCTTCTAAATACTCACCATTAATCTCAAAGCCTAGAGTACGAAGCTTGCAAAGCTTTTGGAAAGTCTATTTCTCAGAACCCACGTGGCTACCCAACTTTAAAGAGTCAACAATTTTAACTATCACAAAAAGGTGATAGCAAATTAATGAAGGCATGTCATTACATGAAAACTTCTCTGAAACTCTGCAGCTAAAAGATCAAAATCCCCTTTCTATAATATAGAAAAAAGTTTGCTCTAGAGCAGGTGCCATTTCCAAGGGGTAAGCAGACTATATTTTCTAAAAAGATAAGTAGGAAGTAGGGAGTTGTTCATCTGGAAGATCAAACTAACCATCACGGCAGATTGAACTCTTACAAAGAGCAGTTAGAAAATTAAAGAAGGATTAGGTTTTCTTTCAAGAAAAGCAGGGAAGTGATTGCCTTAGAACTGACTGTTGATGATTTATTTGCCAGAATAGATAACATCCCCCTTTTCTTTGACATTTAAAATGAAAGATCTTGCTTTTAGAAAATCTGCCACCCATTATTAAAAGATTAGAAATCTCACTCCAGCATTTCCTATAAATATGAGAGAAGGTGAACAGATCAAAGGACAACAAAAAAATCAATCAAAAAATAAAAACTCAAAATGATCACTTGATCCCAGAAACCTTCAACACATTGAAGTCACCAAAAACTCATTGAGCCACAAGAAACAAGTCAGCCACAATCTAGAATCTCTAAAACTCAGTTCAGCTTCAGAGAAAATAGTCATTTAAAGTGAGATTTCTCTCGTTACAAATTTGGTTCAGCATAAGCCAAATCAAGCAGAGTTCAGGTTTTACAAATATGAAAACCTCAACAAATTTATGGAGAGCCCTGATCAAACAAAACATGTACTATAGTGCAGTTCCAGCTCTGTAATCATACCAGCTACTTCTGCCCTTCCAAATTGAAGAGGTCCCAATTCTACCTGTTCAAAAAGCCTTCCAGGGCTTGAAATAGATTAAAGCTCTGCCATACTCGAACGTTGGTATCGATTCACAGCTGAAACTTGATAGTTGAAGGTGTTGATAGCCCAGTCCAGCACAAGCATGCCCAATCCAGCCCGGATCAAAAGTATTTATCCAGGCAGAAATTGAAGTCCATAAGCTCTTTTTGTCTTTTTAGAGTTGATCTTCCTTTTTGAGCTTTGTAAAAGGCAGTTCTGCCTAAAACATTTCACTTTTTTTTTTTATCATTTGTTCTGGCCAGAACAACCAGTTTTGTACTGTGAAAAATTGTGAAGTCTTCACCAATCTAAGGCAAGAAAAGAACTTACTTGAAAGGTATTTCTCACCCAAATTCACAATCGCTTGTTTAAAAATCAGTAACTTGGGGCGTAAATGATCTATTTCTAAGAAGTCTGCTAAGATTTTCATTGCTAGTAGTGACAAGCTCGCACAACAAAAAAAAGTTGACTTGTTGATCAGTAAATGGTTTTCAAGACAATGTGGAACTTTACCCTACCATCACAAGAACAAATCTAAAACGGGTGAACACAAAAGACTTTAGGCTTTAATAATGTACTATTGGAAACATCATGTACATTGGAAGGGTTTGTGTTCAGTTTTGATAACCTTGCAGATCCTGGTAATTCTAATTAAGCAAGTTAATGAGTTTGACTTAATTATTTTTTTAGTGAATTTAGACTGAACTTGGGCTTGACATTATCAATCTATTAAAATTTGGGAGTTTCACTAAAACACCCAAAATGGGAGTTGAAATTATAAAAAAACCCAAGCACTATTTAAACATATAAACACACCCAAAACCTATCATTACACACACTCAAAACCCATTTATAAACACACCCAAAAAGTTGACTTTTGGATTGATTTTGGGTGTGTTTCTATGTTTAAATAGTACTTGGGGTTTTTTATAAATACATGTCTAAGATTGGGTTTATTTATAAATTTGTATTAAAATTTCTCAAGTGCTAGTAGTGGCACACTCATAGATGCTAACACAATTCCTGGCCTATTTCTAGGGCTAGGATGACTTAGGGTGAATACATGTCTACTTACTTCATTCATAGAGCTATCTGTGAGTTCACTCGTCAACTTCTCATTCTTAGTTGCAACCCTACCTCATATTTAGTCGCCACTCAACACTCTAACTGCCTTCTATATTGAACAGTAAGTATAGAGATATAAATTTTTCATTGAAAACGAAAAATAAAAAAACAGACGGCATTCATGGTGTTCAAAAAATTAAGAGCTATTTGTATAAGTGAAGATTATTTTGCTCGAATTTTGGTTTTTCATGTTCTATTTTACTTAAATTACCCTCTACTAAACATGAAATTTTTACTACCTCGAACGCGAGGTGTGATAAAATAATGCGAATAATTTTGACTATAAAAAAATAATACGCGTTATTTCAACCAAAATAAAATAGCACTCATGAGGATAAAATCGTGTCCACTGAAATGCAGACATGTCGAGTGTCAAGATTATAATGGAATCGACCATGCTAGATAGTTACTTCATTATATTGAAAAAGGGTCATAAGTAAGATCTTTTTGTAATTACATGCCAAACTGAAGCGAATCATCAATGATGATCATGAGCAACCTGATTCAGCTTGAAACTAGGTAAGGAAAAAGAATGTATGTAAGAGAAAATATTACGTGTTGCAAGTTACAAAACAGAAGAAAAATGCCAAAACAAATTTGTATTTCATTCTCTATGATCTTCATCAAAACAAGTCATCGGGGTCAGAGCAACAACAGCAGCAAGTCAGGCAATAACCACTACATAGGTAGGAAAAAAAAATAAAGTTAATTACACCATGCATACAACAACTGAATGTCAGTAATTAGTGTAATATTTGTGTTTTGTTTTGTGGGGTTTTTTGCCTTCCGCAGGCTTTATACCTTTTGTGAGTTTTAGGATTGTCGCCTATACCTTTTTGTTTTGCATTTTGTTTAAGTCATAGTTTTGATTCACCTACTAGCGACAGTCTAAACTACAAAGAAATGAGGCTTCTCACATGCACAGTCAATGTGCCATGAGAATTCGAACTTGAGACCACTAGTATCCAAATCCAGACTCTTTCCTATTTAATGAAACTTTGATTCTGACGAAAAAAAAGAAAAAAGTGATCGCATACAAACTTACAATAAGCCAATAAGGCCGCATATAACTGCAAGAGGGCCGCAAGCAAACGAGACCTTTCCAGGACGTTCCCTTGGCATCTCCATTCTCTCTTGAAAATGTATATGATCACCTCCTTTTACCATCTCTGAAATTTCTTTATTTTTTTGGTACATATGATATTGGAAAATCATTGCTTAATTTGGAAATTAAAAATGAAGGTCGACCTTCGTTCTTAAAAAAAATTTGGGCATGTACGTTTCAGCGATTATTGAAGAAGAAATAGAAAAACACA